CTGCATTATTTAGGCTTGTCGGGAGCGTTTGTGTCAGATTAGACAGCTTGATTTCTGGCCCGTCGGTGATGTGTGTGTAAACGGCTGTGTGAAGCCTGGATGATGACTGGGGTCCGAGCTTCATGACGTCTCTGCTTCTCTCCTCAGACGGATGTGATGCATCAGAACGTGTTCGACTACATTCACGTGGACGACCGGCAGGAGTTCAGACGGCAGCTGCACTGGGCCATGAACCCTTCGGCTCAAAGCGGCTCGGGTGCGACTTCAGCCGCATATAACACACACACTCCAGACTCACACTCGCTGTGTAACACTGGTGTCTGTTCTGTAGGTGAAGATCTTGTGGTCAGCAGTTTGTTTCAGTCTGAGACGGGCGACGTTCCTCCAGAGTTCTCCTGCTTCCTAAACCGCTGCTTTATCCTGCGCGTCCGCTGCTTACTGGACAGCACCTCCGGATTCCTGGTGAGGGATTCCTTCAGCTTTCAGTGCACAGGCCACAGTCACAGATAAACAGAGGAGTGTGTGTGATGGGAGACCTGCGTGTGATCATCATTACCCTTTGACTGAAGAGCAACTCCTAACAGTGTTTGCCATGAGAATTTTCCGTAAATAAATCCCACAGAGAACACATTCCAGACCAGTTTCATGGTGTTGGCTGCTGTTTGAGTCACTAGAGCTGCATCTCTGGCTGTGCTTTGAGAAACACTGTGCTGCACGTAGTTCTGTCCTCTATCATCACTGCTGCTAGTAACCCACTGCATGCATTCTGGATTATGTAATCGATGCCAAAAATTAAGTACTTGTTATTAGATTTTGAAATACCCCTAATCAGACTTACTTACAGAATTACTTTTTTATTGATTACATGTTATTCTCATTCTGCATGCGGGTAAATGGGTATAATATTGTTTTAGTAGTGTTTTATTTTGATTGTTGTCATTTTGAAAAGATTTTTATGATTTAATTTATTAGCTTTTCGTTAAACTCACAAACCCCAGTTTGGGAAACCTTGATGTAAAATGATGTTTAATGCACTTCATGTTGTTACCAACACATGGAGTATATTGTCTTTCTATTTGTATTTTTATATCAATACAGTACAAGATTATCCTATTTAAATCAAAGCGATAATCGAGTTAGGTCACAAGCAATCTAAAAGTAATCAAAAAGTAGTCTGATTATATTACCTGAAATGTGTAACATAATGGATTACGTCACTAACTACAGTTTTCATGTAATTTGGAATCAGTAACAGACTACAATCTGTGAGTAATCTACCTTCTCTGAAGATGTTACGGTATATAATCATGTAGAACAGAGAGAAGACGCCTGATCTTGTCTGTGGTTCCAGGCGATGCAGTTTCAGGGAAGACTGAAGTTCCTTCAGGGTCAGAGGAAGAAGACGGCGTCCGGAGCACTCCTGCGTCCTCAGCTGGCGCTGTTCTGTGTCGCTGTGCCTCTGCTCCTGCCCTCCATCACCGAGATGAAGATGAAGAGCGGCGTGATGAAGGGCAAACACAAGAACCCTGGCGTTCTCACCTCGTTAGATCACAAGTAAGAGCAGATTCTCTCGTGTCCTCCTCATGGGCTGCTGACTGCAGAAATGAGACAGATTTCTCTTTGTGTGTCTCGCAGTGACAGAGACGATGCTCTCAGACGTGCCTCGCTCCTGAGCAAAGACAGCGTCAAGTACAAGAGCGAAGGGCCCTATGGCCCCGATGAGCCTCTGAGCTTCTGCAAGACGAGCGTTCAGAAGTTCACAAACCTGGACTGCGGCGCCTGGCCCTCGAGAAGCTCCTCGGTCCTCGGCAAACACTACGCTAAACCGTATCGATCGGCCCTGGGATATTACAGCTCCAGAGCCGAGGCCTTCGTCCCCAAGCCCTACGGGAGCGACTGCGGCGCAGACAAGAGCGAGGGCTTCTGCTTTGACGGATACGACGCGGTGCTGGAGCCGGTGGTGAAGGTGGAGCAGGACTCGGACTCGGAGAACGGTTCGTGGACGCAGATGAAAGCGGAGCCTGGATTCGGAGAGCAGTACTCCTGCCAGCGGCTGAAGGGAGCGCCGTACGCCGGACATTATTACAGCTCGACCCGAGCGCTCAAGTGTGTCCTGAACCGAGACACAGCGGCCGCCAGCGCACACAACACACACTGCACCGACGCCTACGCTGCTGACTACAAAGGGTACGTGCAGCACGACTATAAAGCGGGTAACGAGTTCAAAGGTCACGGCCTGCTTCACTGCATCAAGCAGGAGCCCGTGGACGCTCCGCTGTGGCACGATATGAGCGGCGCACACAAGATCAACCCCTACGTCTTCATGCAGTAGCTTCACTCTCGTTCTGTCTTTATTCATTTTGAAACTGGAAATTCATGCGGTACGTTTCTAACCCACAATCATCCTGTTGTACACACACACACACACACACACACACACACACACTCACTCACACACACCCACACACACACACACACACACACACACTCCCTCTCACAC